CAAATGGGGTTCATATTTCAGCAATGAATGCTGCTTCGAGACTGTGTGTAGAACATAAAGCTGTCTGACTGTGAGAATCTTGCTCTGCCTATAGACGTCAACGGTTGGATGGGAGAATGGTAGGAAATAACTTACCTTTAATACTACTCTTTGAGCTCTTTCGAGTTTCAGTAATAGGGTTTTAGTTGCTCCACCCCAGGTAGTAATACAATAGCTAAGCTGTGACTGGCCAAGAGCAAGGTAGACTGATTTAATTATCTCTTTATTGGCTACATGACGTAGGTTTTTAAATATAAATATTAGCTTACGAATTCTACTTGCTAACATTTCAACATGTTCCTGAAAACTCAGTTTACTGTCAATTATGACACCTAAGTATTTAATTGAACTAACTCGTTCAATACTAGAACACATACAACTAGATTCATTGTAGTCATGACAATTGTGAGATAATATATTAAGGTGATTGGTGTTAGATTGTGCCATTCTTAGAGAAAATGTGATGTATTTGGTCTTCGCAATATTAAGAGTCAAAACATTGTTTCTCAACCATTGTGTTACTATATTAAAACCTAACTGCGCATTGGTATAAACTTCATCCCATGTATCCCCGTAAAATAATAACGCTGTATCATCAGCAAAAGTAACGATTTTAGCCTTAGGGAGTGTTAACTGACACAGATCGTTGATATATGTGAGGAACAATGACGGACCCAAGATACTACCCTGTGGTACACCAAAACATACTGAAGCATCCTCACTTGAGTAATTATCTATTTATACACGCTGTGTCCTATCAGTCAGATAACTTTCGAATAGTTTCAACTGGAGATCCCGAATACCCAAATATTCTAATTTCTTTAGCAAGATAGGTTTAGCAACGGTGTCAAATGCTTTGGCAAGGTCCAGAAATATTGCAATGGTTTTCTTTTTACTGTCAGGGCTAGTGACCAGGAAGTTTAATAATTCCAGTTCACGAATTATTTCTGAAGTTGATTTTTTCGACCTAAAACCAAATTGTACGGAAGAAAGTAATTTATTGTTCTCAACATACTTCATTAACCTTTTGTTAATAACACGTTCTAGGATTTTGGACAGAGTTGGAAGTATAGAAATTGGTCTATAATTATTGACACAGCCCCTATCACCACGTTTTATAAATTTGATAAATTCTAGACTTTTTAAGTAGTGATGGGAACACTCCAGTTGAAAAACAGAGATTACAAATGAAAGTTATGGGTTTAGTTAATATCTCTTTGTTTTCCTTAATAATATTTGCAGAAATCATGTCCAGACCAACGGCGCTATCATTCTTAAGATTGCTTATTAGTGCTCCAATCTCATTTTCATCAGTCGGGAGTAGTACAAATGACTTTGGGCACGATTTTAAGATGCATTGTTGTTGTGATTGTAAGTTTGTTTTATTTATCTTTTCTGCCAATGATTTACCAACGTTTGCAAAATAATTGTTGACGCTGTTTAATGATTTGGAGGGGTCTATAGTATTTATGAGTTCATACGGTGTATCTTTTGGATTAGTAGTGTGTGTGATTTCTTTTAAAGCTTTCCATAACTTCTTGTTATTTTTATTTGCGTTTTGAAGTTGTAGTTTTTCATATTCCCGTTTTGATTTTTTTAATAAATTGGAACAGAAATTTCTATACCTCTTGTAGATAGTGAGCAGAGTATTATTATTAGGATCTTTTTTTAGTTTTTTGTGAAGATTGTCTCGATTTCTTAAACATTTTAAAACGCCCGATGTTAACCATGGCTTTAATATTCTATTCCTAGCCGAAGTTTTAATTTTTATTGTATTCCGTAATAATATTATTTGAAGTGTTTCTATGAAATAGTGAGTAGCTTCGTTTGCGTCTTCCAGCGAGTATAGGTGCTTAAAATCTACATCTGTTAAATCTTTAGTGAAATCTGGACGGTTTAGCTGACTGATTATTTTCACCTTTTTATACCTTTGATTTGTTGAGATATAAAGTCCAACGCTATAATGATCCGTAAGAGATGTTTGGAGTACAAGACTACGAGCTGATAACTTAGTTTTCAACATTACATGGTCGAGACAAGTTTTACCGTGCGTCGGGGAAGTGTGTGCTGGTAATAGTCCATGGTATGCCATCATATTTAAGTTTGTGGAAGAATTTGAATCTGTACTATTCCCAGAGATATCTATGTTTATGTCACCTAATACAATAACGTTCTGAAATTTAGCATAACCTAATAATAAGCTGTTTAAGGATTGAATAAAATTGTTTACATTTTTGTATCCGGGAGGACGGTAGATGGCCAATGCTTTTTTGTCAAGTATTATGGCTAGGCAATTTGCTTCTGCTAGTTGAGGTTCTTCGATTGATATATTCAAATTACTCCTATAATACACCACTACGCCTTCATTTTGCGTATAATTATTTATTGAAGCAGAATAATTATAACCATTTAAGCTGGGTACAATTGGATTGGAGGGCAACCAACATTCCGTTAGCACGATACAATCCCAGCAAACTCTACTTCTAACAATCAGGGCAAGCAGACCATCTACGTTGCGCTTAATGCTCCGTATATTTTGTTGTAACAATTTCAGAACTTTGTTTGAGTTTGGTATAAACGTTTGGCACTCTTCAGCATCACAGATTATAGATTTGGCTACATTAAATGAATCAATCTCATTATCTATCTGAGTTAGTTCGTTGAATTTTAGACATATGTTTATCAGACGGATATATTATTAAGAGCGATATAAAGGTTTTATATTTATGATGATGGTTATATTTCCTGACCGTAAGTTCCAACAACGGATTATGATAATAGTAGAGGCAAGGCAAATTAGTAGGCATATCTTTTTTTGTGTAAAATTTAAATGTGTTTGTAATGTATATGTAAAAGTAGTATTCTCTTTGTATAAAGTGAATGGTAAACTGAGTGTTTGGTGTATTGTTTAGTGTAATAATCGTAATAACAAAAAATATCATTAATTTTCTAAGGTTAACATCTAAAATAGTGAGAAAAAAGGGATTACAAAAATATATCATTTGGCATGCATTAAGTTTTAACAACAATAAACAAATATAACAACAATAGATAAATATAACTAGTCACAATTTACTTTTAAGACTATCCAGGGCTTCTTCGCTGTCCACACATAATCGTTGACCGGTTTTGCTACGTCTCAGGTATACTTTTCCATAGGAAGTCCAGCAGCCTTCATAGTTGTTTTCCTTTGCAAATAATCTGGCCAGGTAATGGAGGCGTCTGACTTTCTTTGATAATGACTCACTAACATAGATAGGCTTAGTAGGATCTCCTAAGTTAGATAAAGTCGAAGGTTAAACGCCTCGCGGCAGTCTCCGCTGTTGCACGAATGGGTAGATCCATCCGGGTATGAATGTGTGTGAATGAGGTAGCCGGGGCCCAACTTTATTAAATGGTGGCAAGGCATGGCGTTGCAAATGTCCATGGGCGGCGGTCATCTGTTGATACTTACGTAGGCTAGAATAAGACTATTATACCTGTATATTATATTGTACCCTGATATTTTTGAAAAAGAGCAACTGTTGAGTTTCTTGCCGGTCTCTTCTCAACAGAAACTGCTTTCCAAACCGGTGGTACCTTACGAACCTATATACATAATTTTAATCAATTAAACGCTTGCTCACTTGCCATATTTTCACATAAAAAAGTTTAAATACCTATTAGTGAAGCCTTGATCGATGTGATAAATTATTAAATATAATTACTATTTTTTTTGCTTAAATCATCCAATGGGTCTTCGGAGATGAATTATCGTTATTATCTTTTTTCTTTCTAATAATAAAATAGAAGAAAGAATATTGTAAACAGGAATGAACCTTGCGAAAACTTGTTTAGTTAAACGAATTCCATCGTCAAAATACACAAATACCAATATGGTAATCATCAAAAGAAATTAAAATGTTCATGTGTAATAATTATGTAATAATGTATTTAAACGGGTATTAAGTACATGTACCTAACGTCTGTCTCTGTGAGGGCAAGAGGCTTAGTTTGAGAAATTAAAACTGTTAATTTTAACTAAAAATAAAAACGACTAAAATAATCTGTATTCATTTTATAATTAATTTTTGGAGTTCCCTAAGTATCAACGGAGCCCAAGATTCAAACCAATCAAATTAATGTGGAACCACATGGGAAGCACCAGCTTTCAAATAAAAAAATGATATAAAGTTTTGAGGTAACAAACATAAAAAATAATAAAGCTTAAAAACTGGCTTTTGTCATGGCATAATAACGCTTCTCCAATTTCAATAAATAGAGAAACTTACATAAAATATAATAAAAAGTCAGATGAATTTGCGGACTATATTAAGTGATTATAACATATATAACGATTAATTTTTCTTTAAAGAAAGTCTGAGTCCATGTAACTTATTAATAGGAAATTAGTAGTAGTAGGAGCGTATTTCATTCTTTATTTTATTAAATAATTAATATAACTTTCATTATCAAATCTTGAATATCTAACCTAATTAAAACTAAGTAGGTTAAAAAGTTAATATTAAATAATATAGTACTCATAATTCATAACATCTTAGGCTAGGCCTTTCTTTCCTTTTTACAGAAGAGATCTTTGCCCAACAGTGGGACATTTATACGCTGTTACTTAACTCTAGTTAACTAAAAACATACAATTATTAATTAGATAGGTGTGTCCCACTTCACTTGTTTGATAACAAATGCTACTAACGTACAAATTACAATAGTAATTACTAAGGTGGCAGCAACGCGAGGAGGACTGATTGGGCCGATTAAATCATCGCGACGCCGCCCGCCGTCTAGGAAGTGGGTGCAGGTCGATGCACAACCCGGCCGACGCAGCGGGGGGAGGCTCTCGGGGGCGAAGCCCTACCGGGGTCCGCCGCCCGGGCGATCGACCGGCGGTTCATTATCAAAGTTCAGTAGTACGGAGAGCACACTAGGCTAGCACAATGCGGCAACGCGGTACGTACACGCTAGTGCGGCGTCGACCAAACACGAAGATCTACCGCCTCCCCGCCCGTGCTACGGGTGATCGGTGCGTGAGGGGAGCCGGGGCGTTCGGTCGCGGGTCCAAGTTCAGTGGCCGACCGCGGGGGTGTCGAACCACCCCGAAGTTGAGCGGACGGCCACGAAGCCCCGGGCGGGAGTTTTGACAGCTCGCCCGGAAAATCTACAACGATATGCGTCCGTCCCGTTCCACGCGAATTCAGTTTACGGCGGCACCTGTCAATTTTAAGCCCAATATTCAAATAGTTTAAGTTCCAAACAAGTGTTAACCTTTGCTAAGGAATTCTCGGGCGTTTGGTGTCGGTTTGTCGCCGAAGGGGTTTTTTGTAAGACACACAATGTATTACCTTCAATAGATGATAGGCCCATACCCGTTATGGGCCGTTCATTAGTTATTAAACGTTTATATATTAAATATAATTGTAACTATGAAAGATTCATCTATTGTAGTTATAATTATTACAATAATAAAAAAACATACGACTGTTGTCCCAACATATTCAGAAACATTTTCAGAAAATGTTGACAGAACAGTCGTATCAATGTTACGTCGAAAAAGTATTTTATAGGTTAATCATTCATGTCTATTCAAAATTCCATTCAGCGATCAGGGTGTGATAAAGATTATATAGACTTGCAATTAATTACGACCGACAAAGTAAGGTAAGTCTGATAGATGTAAGTTATTCAAACTAATTATAACTTTGATGAAAAATATTGGTTAGCGAAAATGTGTAATTACGTATTTGGTTAAAATCATGTTTTTTTTTTCAGTTAAAGTCAAATAAATATAAACATAATTCAATTAACTAAATGTAGGTATACATTAAAGTGACCGAGGATTATTATGAAATAGTCAGAGAAATCAAATTGAGACGGTCGCCATGACAGCCGCCATTACGCACACAGACGAGTAGACACAGTAGATCGAGATGATACGTACCAGGAGAACATAATCGCTGGCTAAATTGATTATTTGTGCGCGATATTTCAAGCCGTCTTGGTAGGTATGTTTGCAATATCTGGCAGTTCTTTAATGAAGATACAAAAGCAACCCTAATAAGAGTTTCTTTTAAATGAAAAAGTACTGGAATACGAAACAAAGTTTAAAGTAAAGTCATTATGCAAAAACGGGACACATTTGTACGTATTAAATGGAGAAGCGACACAATAAATATAACCCTTATTGATTACTATCTTTTACCCTTGATTTAAATAAAACTAAATTTTCTTTTTAACACCTCTAAGAATATGTATACAAATTTGATAATCGGTTGAGTAGTTTTTGTGTGAGGGCGTAGCAAACAACATATAGTAGTTCATTATAATATTAGTAGGGATGACAGCAAAACAATCAATTTGAGTTTCGAATGACAATATCACTTGAGTTTCGTGAAATCGTCGTTATCATCGACTTTTCCACTATCAATGTTAAACCGAGTGAATAATGACAAAGATTTTTATGTAAACAATATTCAAAACGTAAGATGGTGGACTGAGATTATTGATCTGAATCTGGCAACGATTTTTTTTATGTGAAAAGTTGCCAAACGAGCAGACGGTTCACCTGATGTTAAGTGAATACCACCGCCCATGGACATCTGCTACACCCGAGGGTTGCAGATGCGTTGACAACCTTTTGAAAATTGGGCTTTCAACACTGATAACCTCGAAGAAAAGTTGGTAACCAACATTGCGTAGTTCATTCGCTAATAAAAATTATTGTGATAATCGGGATTAAACATTGAATATTATTTTAATTTTTAACTTGAGGTTTTTTATGTGAGGTGTCAACCGAGCTGATGTTTCATCTGATGTTAAGTGATAACCGCCGCCCATGAACATTTGCAACACCCGAAGGGTTGCAGATGCGTTGCCACCTTTTAATAAAGTGGGCCCCGGCTACCTCACTCACCAGGAGAAATGCGGAAGTAGAACATTTCCACTTCACGACGGTCTACTGTGAGGTCGTAGCACTTACCTTAACGGACCTTTAAAACTGCATAGAAAATCATCGGTATGATTTAAATGTTCAATATTATTATTTTTATATGTTAGTATGTTTATTTTTATATATTAATTTTATGTCAGGGTTTGCTGGAAGAATTGTTTTCACTTATACTCTGTGTACAATAAAGAATAAAAAAAGAAAGAAAGAACTGTCGACAACATATTAAGCTGCCAGGATTCAAACCTGCCTCCGGATCGCGCGAGCGGGCGATAGCCAGTGGGCTAGATTGAAGATTTTTCCACCTAGATCGGATAGCGCTTTAATTACGATTGGCACTGGGGGGCCATGAGGGGAAGCTCAGACGTCGCTTGATATATTCCGATGTATAGTGCTTTTTGATTTATTTCACCCCGCAGCCGCTAGACGAGCTCTGTCTGGGTCCACCCTCCGAAAAGGGGTTATTATTAAAATTGCATTAGTTTTTTTTTTCGGATGACTTCGAGTGTATTGCGTTTCGAGGGAGTGTTTGTTTTATTCCGCATACGTCGGACAAGTAGTCGGTGCTTTTTAATTATGATCTATATTATGCTTATGGACTGTGCCCTAGGTGATTAAACGTAGGTAATTAGTTATTGCACGGTTTTCCGATAAGTGTTTTATGTGGAGTTTGCTTCTGCCGGTTGATCTAATTGATCAAGTGATACAGAGTAAGTGTCTATTATTTTGTTGGTATGAATATAGGTGATAAGATAAGATACAGAATTCATATAATTTATCATTAAAACTTTTGGATAATTAAAGTGAAATTTCTTTATTAAATGAATGAGTACGGACTAACTTTAAGTAGAACTCTCCGCATCCTATCGCCCCGCACCTTCCCCGCCACAGATGATATTTTCTGTATATTTTGTTAACTTTTCAATTTTCCATATAACATCGAAACCTTAATTATAATCCTTAAATCTGAAAACTATGTTTCTACTACACTCAGTAACCCAGAAGCCTACATTAATTTTAAACAGCAATGTATGGTTGTCAAAATTATTACTATTTATACATATATCTATTGTACACATTGGTAGCTTAAAACATATAAGTATTTTCTCTTCGTTTACTTATTAACCTATCGTTGTACATAAGAAACCACTTTAAAAACTGTAGAAATATGATGATGATTGAAATTACAAATTCGACAAATTCAACAAGGAAATTTCGACATTTTCTACGCGTAGTGAAATAATAACCAAGTTGAAACTGAAGTGCGCTGGCTCGGGGGGGCAAATTGTAATCGCAACATCATAACGCGCGGAGGCTGTGTAGGTACAAAAAGGTGAATAGGAGAGCAGCACTGCAGCGGTCTTGCAACACTACCTAGCTACAGTGGCTCCCGTGCAACTAGGGTGCCCATAATGCCCCCTGCAATATGTCTTTGAAGAAACACATTGAACTGCTGAACAAGTCCATTTTTATTAACTATTCGTTAAAACCAAAACCGACTTGAAATGTCTCGCTCTTTATTCATTGTACAATTGATTTTCAAGAGTACCCTACGTATCTTATAAATACTAATGAAATTAACATGGGAAGCACCGGCTTTCAAATAAAAGGAGGATCAAAGGAAAAGAAGGATTTTACGGTGGCAGGACCACGTAGCAGCCTCGGCTGTTGACCTGACAGAAGACCAGCGTAAAGTGGAAGTATGACAAATACTTTCGCGTTTCGTCTGGTGAGTGAGGTAGCCGGAGTCCAATTTTCAAAAGGCTGTCAACGCACCTGTAACCCTCGGGTGTGGCAGATGTCCATGGGCGGCGGTGTTCAGTTAACATCAGGTGAACCGTCTGCTCGTTTGGCAATTTTTCGCATAAAAAAAATCATCATAATCGGTTCCCTCAGTTCTGAGGTAACAAATATGAAAAAAAAAATATAGTCGAATTGAGAACCTCCTGCTTCTTCTGTAACGCCGAAAAAAATTTTTATTTATCTAATATTTACAAGATTAAATCTATCTAAAATTTCATGTTATCTAATAAACCTAAACCAGTTTTTTTGAAGTCGGTTAACAATGTACCTACGGTACAAACGAAACGTTGCACCGATCATCAATTTCAACCTTTTCGTTATTCTCGTGAGTTTCTGCAAACAATACCGTGCTGTATTTCAATTTATTTTCTGTATTTCAAAGTTAAAATTTTTGGCAATATAAGTAGGATTTTAAAACATACGCAGTTGCTAAACCATTGGCTGATGACGAGGACCAATGCCTTACCTTTGAAATAAAAAATAATTATAGTAAAGATAATCTTCTTTTCCTTTAAAAAAGCAAGTATTTTCCTCTTGATTTAAACATTTATTAGACTAGCGACCCGACCCGGCTTCGCACGGGTCCAAAGTATTATACATATAAACCGCATCAAGATCCGTTGCGTAGTTTTAAAGAACTAAGCATACATAGGGACAGGTACAGAGCAGGACGACTTTATTTAATACTATGTGGTAATTACCTTAAACTCAGTGAAATCGGTTTCAAACGAATGCGACATTAAATTCAATGGGATATAAATGAAATCTTTAATAATGCCGAAAATGGTAAAATATGATGTAACATATATATTTCATCATAACTTATCTCCATATATTATTTCTCAAAGGAGTTTTTTATTCTATTCGCAATAACTTCCATAATTCTTCATCAAATCAAATGATTGAAACACCATTTTAAAGCTGTTGTCTAAGGCTGTTGACGAAAAATATAAATATAGAGAGAAATAAAGCTAATTTTTGTATAAAAACTATACTTACTTTACTTTACTTTTTATATTCGGTGACAACACGGTACTGTGCGAAAAATTCGTATGGTTCAACTAGTTGTGTTACATTTCACGTCAGCGCTGGTCGTTTCTTCGGTCGGTGTCGATAAAACGCCTTTAAAAACATGAAAATCGAATAACTTCGTAACCGAGTTTGAATTGCTTCAAGTGAGTCCCAATAACTGAAGACTTGCGTAACATTACGAAATTTCAGAAAAAAATAAGTATTTGGCACAAGGCATATTGTATCGATTCATAAAAAGTTTCGTTGAAGACAATAGAGATCTTTTACGAATGAAATTCCGCTCCAGCTTAATTTTAATTCAACAGTTTGATTACACTTCATTTCGCAACTTTGTGGTGACATAAGAACGTAGTTCAATCGTGAATCAGTAACATTATTTAGAATATAAATATTACATTTCATATCTATCGATGTCTTGTTTTAACTCGAATGTTAAACGTATTAATATTTTATGGATTTTATAGCTTTTTAATTTTTATTTTTAAATGGCTTCGCATGGTATTATACATATAAACCTTCCTCTTGAATCACTCTATCCAGTAAAGAAAACCGCATCAAGATCCGTTGCGTAGTTTTAAAGATCTAAGCATACATAGGGACAGACAGACAGTGGGACTTTGTTTTATACTATGTAGTGATTAGTGACGTTTTGAACCCTTTCCAGCGTTCGTGATCAACATTAAAACTAAGTATGTAATATATTATATGAACAAATATATGTAATATTTATAATATTTCTTATTAAACATTTTAAACGTTTGCTGATTACTGCAGTCGAAAACTTTTTCCTATTTATATTTTATATATATATTAATTCATATTAATTTTCAACTTGAGTAGTGTGGAGTAGACTTGTACTTAAATAAATATATTCGTAAAGACAAACATTTCACTATCTTTTTGTTGCTCTTTTTTGCTACTGTGTTTGTTAACTGGTTTTGTCCGATCTTTTTATTGGTGTAGTTGAATATCGAATACTAGTTTCTGTGAGGATTTGACACTTCCCAGGTCAAGAACCTTGTTTATGCAATGCTATAAACTATGGCGTGGCTTTCACACAGTAAAATAATTCTTTTTTCATATCACATGTGACGTCTGTATTTAAATCTCCTAGTGTAGTCAGTATTTTTATGAAGATAGCAATCCAGGAATTTGTTCTACATAACAAACTTATATTCTTATAATATTATTTTTAATATTGGCAATAGTTTTGATGCCTATGGTTACCCTATTATCCAGGGTTTTAGAGCGGCCGGTCATGGCGGCGTATCCGGCGGTCGCCATGGTTACCGCCCGCGCCCTCCTACACACCCATACTTACCTGGTACCCCGCCAGGCATCGATGCCTTGGAAATATTCGCTCGCCTTTCAACTTCTCCACGCCACGCCATATTCATTAGGGTCGGATTTTCCTTTTTAGGGTTCCCTACCGAAAAGATAAAACGGGACCCTATTACTAAGACTCCACTGTCTGTCTGTCTGTCTGTCCGCCTGTCAACAAGCTGTATCTCATGAACCGTGATAGTTAGACAGTTGAAATTTTCACATATGACGTATTTCTGTTGCCCCTATAACAAGCAACAATTTCAAAACAAAATAAAATAAATATTTAAATATGGTTCCCTAACAACAGACATGATTTGTTTTGCTAATTTTATAGATAATGGTATGGAACCCGTCGTGCGCGAGTCCGACTCACACTTTGCCGGTTATTTTTTACTATGGAAGCACGCGGCGTCAGTCGCTGCCGCTCCCAGAGTCGCGTAGCATTCAATGGCTTCATTTCCATATTCGGGTTAAGAGTGATGAGCGCGCTTTAACATTTAAAAATATCAGATTTTTTCAAACGGAAATCCCGCGTGGGATTGTTTTTTTAACAGCAACCTGTATGCAGGTTCGCGTTTTAAAGTCCCGTGGCTGAAAAAGTTTCTGTCGTCGCTGCGACAATTTTGGTTTGCGCCTCGTGATGCACTTTTCGGGAATTAAAACTTTAGATTTGTTAAGTTACGTTCATAAAAAAAAATTATGCTATGTTTATTAAAATATCCGTAGCAAATATAACTATGCTTGTATTAGTTCATTTCGCGAACGTTTTTTTAAGTCATTTCATTACGTAACAAAAGACAAGTTAAAACAAATTAATTTGTCTAATAGCGACTTTCACACAACTTTATGTGCACCTATTTATTACATACATTCGTTTATATTGTATATTTGTAACATGTTAAAGCATATCAAGACTATTTCTTAAGTTTAATCCGCTTAAAGTTTTATAAATACGCTCTTTAGATGGACAAAATAAAACGGTTGTGTCTTACTGACCTAGAACTAGTGAACTTTTATAATATAGACGACATTATATTTATATCAAAATATACTCGCTAGACATTTTTTCTTATCTTAATTGCTACAATGTTTATGAAAAAACGTACAAAGACAACAAAATATTTGCTAGTATTACTTGCTCGCATGGCTTATTTCATCAAACGTATTATTTTCATATATTCTATTGTCAAAGTAGAACATCCATTGAAATAAATATAACCGTATTTCATAGTATCGTAGATATGTACTGTTTGTATCCATTGGTACGTATTAAATATATTTAAATATAATATTATTACTGCTTTGGAATAACTAAGAAGAACTGATTTAGATCATAAGTTGATTTAAATATGTTCGTAAAATAAAAATAACACAAGTTCCCGCCAAAATACTTGTCATTCGCAATGACAGCTCGAGGCTGAATTCATTAGCACGGCAAGATTGAGAATGATGCGGCGGGGAGACAGCGTCGAGGTCGTTGCGTTTAATGATATTGGCCCTTAATGGTATGAATAATGTCAGCGTAAAGCATCTTGCAAGCGCATCGAATATTTTGCAAACAACTTGTCGATTTTTCGTAAACTGAAATTAGCACTAGATCAATAAGAGGTTTCAAAAGGAAAATAATTATCTAGGCTGGTCGGTTCCTCGGTGGTATTAGCGTATAATTATTTGTGAATTATTTATTTCAGAGAAGCATATGCTAACAATTGCAACCGCACATTGTAAATAAAACTATTTTAAGGATTTCGTTGCGCTTAACTTTTGTTACGTTACTTTTGTTACGTTATTCCTGACGTTACGAAAGTATTATAGCATCTATGGTCAGCTTTACACGATTGTTCGATTGGGATTTCATTCAAAACCATAATTAAACGTATACCATTCGTTAAAGGGCTTTAATTTGTTTTAATTTCAATGCCTCACACCTTTATTGTTGGGAGATATGTCAACTTAGCGTAAATTATTACTATTAATAATAATTGACGCTAAGGTTTTTAAGTCCGAAACGAAGATATGTCTGATACTGACCATGCACAATCAGAGTTTAAATGAGTCACTCATTGATCGCCATTAGGCAATTATTTTTGCCTCTGCATTCTTTCGGTCTTCTTAAATAAAAATGAAGTTTATTAATGACTTAATATTTTCTTCCTATTACAGACATGAAATAATGAATAACCTCAATTGCCGTCAAATCATATCAAATAAAAAATAGCTCAGCGGTTGCCAACACCAACTAAGAGTAGAACTACAAATTTACCACCAAACATGACTTTTAACAACTATAATGCAGGATCTGATAAATTTTATCAAAGGAATAAATTATTGCAAATTTTGTTACACACACACATGTCATACGCACTCGTGTCTAGAATGTATAAAGCTAATTTTACATAAAGAAAATTCGTATTATAGCCTCAGCATCTAAATCAGACGAAGGTCGGTTTAAGGTAAACATTAAACCTTAAAAAACAAGCCGCTTGTTGATTCCAAGAATTATTGAGATCTCATTTGAACAGTATAACGATTTGTTGTCTCAAACAAACATCTCACATATTACGTTCGTCATCGTTTCGTCGTGCTGAATTAAAAATGGCGCCTTTACCATAATGGCGGTTAAAATGGCGGTTAACGAATATCTCCATTAAAGTGGCGAACTTTTTAAAGCTTTGATGTCATATCCTTTAATAGAATATAATTAAAAAAAAGTATTTTAATTAGTCATGTATTAGAAAAAATATATAAGTTTGTACACTATTTTTTTTAGTGTTGTAGGGTCACGCAACAGTCTTCACTGCTGCACGAATGGTCAGGTCCATCCGGGTAAGTACCACGACCTCACAGAAGACCGGCGTGACGTGGAAGTGTTATACTTCTGCGTTTTGTCTGGTGAGTAAGGTAGCCGGGGTCCGCTTTATTAAAAGGAAAAGGTGGCAACGCATCTGCAACCCCACTAGTGTTGCAAATATCCATGGGCCTCGGTTATCACTTAATATATGGTGAACTGCCAGCTCGCATGCCATCTTGTCACATAAAATAAAAAAAAAATTCTCATATTATAAAACTGAAGAGTTCGTTTGTTGAACTCACTAATCTCAGCGACTACTGGTCCGATTCGAAAAATTCTTGGACTGTCAGATAGCCTATTTATTGAGGAAGGCGATAGGGTACTTTTTAAGTACGATATAATATGTAGTACATGCGGGTGGAGCCACAAGCTAAAAGCTAGACTTAAATAGTATCAATAAAAGATTAGAAATACATTGCTTGCACGAGATGAATCAAAAAGAAAAAGGATTGTATAACCTACAAACTAAGATCGATTACATACGAAAGATATATAAACTAAGACGATATTTTAACTTCTATATGACGCTAAAAATAACTTCGTGATCATACTCCAAATACATGATGTGTAATTTTCAATCATAGAAACCCACGGCATTGAATAATCCATAAGGTTCACCTTTGAAAAGCAGTTTTGGTACTTGCTTTGTTGCAGTGTGCATGCAGACAGGGCAACGCGCTCTGGCTTGGGGTAGGTTCCACTGCGGGCGAGACAGGCCCCGCGACGCGTGACTACGGGCTGTGTGATGTCCGCAGTGATCGGTGTGCATTGCTGTTCGAAAGCGAGGCGCTAAATGACTCTCTGAAGTGAAACAGCAATTGATGGTGCTGATTCGAAACTGAAGTACCGTGTGTGCAGGGATTTGGCAGCCAAATTATAGGTCTCCCCAAAGCAAAACAAAGCGCGGCTAGTTACTCATATGTCATAATGTAGTATAGAACTAACATGGAGTGCATATCGAGCGATGAGGGAAAAAATGTCTTATTGCAAAGCGGTAAGGACCATTTTACCTGCCCCACGTTTCGATACGTGTAATTACGTATCTTACGAAAGTTTTTCTCTTTCGGTAGTTTTTGGAAAATTCTGGAAGATTTGTTGTAATTGTACCGTAACCCATTTCGCTTTTGTGTGTTTCGAGAACGTGTTCATTTTTTTTCTTCTATTTTCAGTTCTGTTAATAACTTACGGTATTTTGGTTATAGTGGAAAGGGATGAATTATTTAACACCAAGTTTAGCATAATTAAAGGGTAAAATATTTTTATTTGGCTTTTATATATAAATTTGAATTTAAAATATAATGAGTCATAACAAATTATAACAGCATTATCTCACTTTGTTAATCATTGAGCAACTTAAGTTATTTATTTATTTCAAGAAATTATTAAAACATTACATATAAAAACTATAACGATTCTTTAACTAAGTTTTCATTTATGTTAAATTTCTCTTCCTACTTTTATACATACGTTCATGGAATACCTGTGATCATACGTATAGAGTGGACAAGAAACTGTTACATTTTTTTTCTTTGATGAAGCTCTTATAACAGGTTAAATAATAAAAGATTAAAAAATTATTATTGTACTATTTACAGGAGTTAATACACACACCTAAAAGGTTACAAACATTCGTTTATATGAATAACTAAAAATTTTATCCTGTACCTACTCTTTGTTTGTGTAAAATACATTAAATGTAATTTATAACGGTTTAATTAAATAATTTGGAATTATAGGTAAATTTCAAGAAGGTGCTATTAGTTACCATGGTAATACCTTGAAGTTGTTCGCTTTACAACCAACTGCATCATGTCGCTTTTTGGCTGTCAGTGTGCGCGCGCATCGTAATAAATTAACTCTCATATTTTGCCACACCTGCCAAAAGAAGTATACCATACAGACTTTTTGATTTTACGCATTTTCATGGTCACGGGACAGATAGACCATGAACGCTGGAAGGGGTCTGAAAAGTCGGGAATTTCAAAATAAAATTAAAAGCGCGATATAATCCGAAAACTAGTTTCGTTTAGTGAGAAGTATAACTTCAAAAATAGTAAACATATCATTAAGTATATATTATATACTTTATAAGCGCGTCGTTTTAAAAATTCAAAGCGTTCTCCGTTGTGTTCCACACATACAGATGTGAGGCAGCATTTCCATGCCCCCAGCATTGCGTCCATATTTCTCTTTTGAATTACAGCCGGTCGAGGCGTTATGCTGAATATTGTGTCACAGTGTTCACTGGACGACAAAGAAATAATTCCTCATGCTAATATTAGAGATAACTCAATTTTGTTTGCACTTTTTTAAGAAATAGTTTATGTCCGAGACCACAAATTTTTTTGCACCTCTTTAAGAAATAGATTAATTGATTTTGACGCGAATAAAAAACTACATTATCTCTATTTAAAAGAAGGTTTTGTCTTTGTTTTTGCTGTAATGAAATACAATCAGCTATGCAAGAGGAGGATGTAAAGACCAGCTCGAACTAAGAAGAACAAGTATCACGGCTGCACAGAAGACTGGGGCGGCGTAGGAATACTTATCCTTTTATATACTTTTTTTTTATAAGTTTCGTTCAGTAAGTGCAGTGATTGGCAATAAACCCGCAAGTTGTGTTTACTCATAGAAGAACATTCATTTGCGTTTTAAGTTCCGTATCATCTGTATCCGTGTCCATTATTCTGTATTGTGAGTGCAATGTTCAGTTTGCGACCCTTAAATTAAAAAACACCTCTCAGGTGTCCATGTGTCATTTAGCATCGGGTGAAGCGTTGGCTCAATTTTCATCTATTATGAAATAAAAAGTTAGGTTAGAAATAAAAAAGTAGCCAAGCAGACGTGTCGGCATCGTGCATCGGCATCAGCAATCGTGATTATTATTATTTAATAAACGATACAATTATGTTTGGTTCATATTTAAGTAATTAACACTAATCTTGTAACACTATAGGCGGAGAAATGACTACCCTTAGTCCAAGGCTTAACGGTGTCTGGGCCACGTTTGTAATTAATTTCCACGCGTCTGTGTAGGTCTGAATACATAAAAATAATTTTTTCAGTCGTATGTGGAAATCCAATGTTACTCCATAAAGGGGTAAGCCCGTTTTTAAAAGAACTAAAAACTAAATCAATATTGTCTTGTACCTTAAGATGTTGGGCCATAATAAAAATAAGCGGAAAAATATAAAAAAATCATCAGTGTTCAAAGTATTAAAGCCTTTATAATCTTCTAATAGCTTTTGGTTTTAGTATAAATTTCGGAGTGCCAAATAGTTACGATCGGTACATTTGATCTCGTTTAATGTAATAACTTATTATAATCACAGAGCTAACAAAACACGAGGTAAATCAGAAAACCCATAGATAGTTATGAAAGCAAACATCGTTGCATCGTTTCGTATACCATTACGCAGAAAAACTCATTAATGACTCACCTAACGTGACTCACACAGAGAAATCTATAAACAGCTTACGATTCAGCGTCTACGCGGCTAATTTTTCAGGTCACTTGTATCCTAAAAGCATATTTTCGGCTCTTCGCACTCGAATGTGCACTCCAAGTCTTTTAGTTATGGTTCAATTTAGAACGGCGGCTGGTTGGCTTTATGACGTTTTATGCTGGGACGCGGCGCTGCAGGGGCGCCTGTGTGCGTCGGGAAGCTAGTTCGATCCCGCCTGAGAGGGAATCGAACAGACAGCGCATATAGGAAACTGCGGAGACGCTTTCAACGCGGAACGTTGTCGCGCCGCCCCGGTATTAATTAGCGTGGCTTTGACGGGACTTCAGCGTCGGATATAATGCAATGCCGTTTCTTGCCTTTGAACGAGGAGCCTTCATATTTATGACTAAACCTCCCCAGACGAATCCGTAGTTATCCGTAGTAATTTATGTTAGGTAAGTTGAATTGGTCTCGTAATTTAAAGATTTTCTTTTCAATTTTGTGCACTTTATAACTATACTGTAGTTAATTTTTAAAGTTTTTTATAGTGCTAATCTTTGCACTTAAGATTGAACATTAAAAAATTTGTATGCTGGAAAGGATATAACAATAGATGCACCAAGCATTGCTTCAAATGCTAAATAACAATGTAGAAAGAAGGCGTTAAGATTTTCGTCGCTGTTGCTATCAGCCGTTTAGCTAAGTGGCTCAGTGGTAAGGCCGCGAATGCCGAAGACGTGGGTTCGATTCCCACAGCGGCGACAATCTTTTCGTACTTTTTCTACATGTTTTAATATACTGTAGTTAAAAAAAAGTGCGTGAGTACATGGGTAAGATAAAATAATTCCGTGTTATATATGTGTTTCACCAACACAGATTAAATATAGACGAACAGCCGGATGCGGAATAATTATCTTCAGTTTCGCTAAATATTTATAGCACGTGGGAGATGAAACTTTTTATGATATAAAGCGGCAAACGAGCTGGGTAATCACTTAACATCAGGTGATGGTTCACCGGTTGTTAAGTGATAACCACCGACCATGGACATTTGCAACACTCGCAGGGTTGCGGATGCGTTGCCACCTTTTAATACAGTGACAGACCAGCCCATTCGTGCAACAACGAACACTGTTGCGTGGCCCTACCACAGCTAACACCAACATCAGTAGCTTAGCCTCTACGTCGACCGGGATCATTTGAAACATACGTGCTTTGATTGAAATTTATAAAAGAAAGCTCGCTGAAACACCTAACCTTTAAGTATTGCCGAAGAACGTTGACGCTACTATTTTCGTAGGCTTTGAGCATTATCTTGGGGTCGCATTTGGGAACACAATTATGGCATTTTTTGCGAGTCATGTTAAAAAATAAACGATGGTCTTTTGATTAATTCCATGTGCTGAAAACTGAAGATTTATTTTGATTTGTGAACACAAATAATGATGACTCCGTAGCGTAGTTGCCAAGGTATTGGCTTCGGCGTCGAGGGTCGTGGGTTCGATTCCCACACGGGACAACTATTTGTGTGACCCACAGATAATTGTTCCGAATCTGGGTGTTTGTTCGCGTGAAATTTATGTTTGTAAAACGTCCTTACAACACAGGATAGTGTTATCCTAAAGTAAGGGCAATGTTTCTTTAAAAAAAAAAAAAGGAGATTTCATTGAAATTTCCTCCACAGTGGAAACAGATTTTAGGCCAACACTTTAAATTTTTTTTACTAATAATACTAGTTTTTTAGCAATTCCAACATTTTCACATCTACCACATGTTTAACTGTGTAGGGCCACCCAATAGCTTCGACTGTTGTACGAATGGGCATGATCGTCCTGGTAAGTACCACGACCTCACAGAAGATCCTCGTGAAGTGGAAGTATTATACTTCTGCGTTTGTGGCAACGCATTTGTACCCTTACAAGTGTTGCAAATTTTCATGGGCGGCGGTAATCAATTAACATCAGGTGAGCCGCCAGGTCGTGTGCCAAATTCTCACATAAAAAAGAAAAAATGTGCCATATATGTACTATCTTTAATGGTGGTAGGGCCACGCAGCAGCCTCGGCTGTTGCACGAATGGGCAGGCTCGTCTGGGTAAGTACCACGACCTCACAGAAGTTCGGGGTAAAGTGGAAGTAAAAAAGTATTATCTTTCGCGTTTCGTCTGGTGAGTGAGGTTGCCAGAACCTAATTTTCAAAAGGTTGTCAACGCATCTGCAACTCTCGGGTGTAGCAGATGTCCATGGGTGGGGGTTTTCACTTAACATCAGGTGAACCGTCAGCTCGCTTGATAACTTTTCACATTAAAAAAAATCTATGCATCCACGATTTCTGCTAATAATTGGGCTCTCTTAGTCCGGCAAATATAAAAAAAAATACGAAAGGTGTCGCGGCACAGCTGGTTAGAACGAAGCTCATTTCGTTATATATAAGGACTAAAATAATTAACAGAAAAATAAATTAACAATAAAGGTACAAACAATAAAGTAACAGACTAACGCTTTTGCTTATAATCAGTTTATTAAAGTAACTTAGAATCTTTAAATCTCTCAAGAAAATAACTTAGAATCTTTATCGGTACTTAACAGATGATCAGTACGTTATATGTTATTTACAGTACCTGGAGGACCGAGCTTTGCTCGGTTTGTTTTTTTTTTTTTTTTTTGGTAAGTCATGTATTTTGGAAATTACATTTAGATACAAATTACTGAGAAATGAAATATGCATAATATTTTTCGATCTTACCGACGTAATAATAAGAAAATATGAACTGGTGTTTTTCACAAAAGAAAGAATTTAAAAAGAAAGGGAAAAAATAGCAAAATAACAAATCGACAAAAAATAAAAGATAAAGAAAGCAATAATCTGGAATCGAAACAAAAGCAAAAAAATAAGTGTGTAAATGATCGTGATACGAACCACGGCCGTCTGTTTTGGGGCCGCCCGATTACCGACCGAGTTATTATAACATTTTTTTTGCGGCGAAATTTACCGTCATATTCAAATGATATTTTTCATTCCCTGAAAACAGGGATAAAAGGACATTTTCTAAAAATGAAACCTAGCTAGATCGATTTTTCGCCCCCGAATCTACGCACATACTAAATTTCATGAAAATCGCTGGAGCCGTTTCCGAGATTCCGATTATATATATATATATATATATATATATACATACAAGAATTGCTCGTTTAAAGGATAAGATATACGAGCGTAAGCACGCAGACACTTTCCAGCCTAACTCTCATTCGCATAGTAACGTGCCATAAGGAACTGCTTTTCAAAAGCAAATTGCTAAGTTGGTGATGCTTATATGTCTTTCAGCGTATATTTTCATAACTATAGAAAATACAATCTTTATTGATCTAATATTTACAAGATTAAATCTATCTAAAATTACATATTATCTAATAAACCTAATCCACGCGGCATGGTGCCAAGAACGCTAGCTGCATTTCCTCGCTGAATAGTTATGCTTAACCTTTGCGCGAGAAAAGAACCAGCTCTCTTGTCACCAGCCGCGGCGTTAAGCCTAGGACATAAACTTTTAAAAAAATTTGATGTGCGGGGACCCCACGGACCTAATGTTTCAACAGCAAATGGCACAAATACATAATCTGAATATAAAGACTCATATTTGCGCCATTTACTTACTTCAGCTGCCTCCGATTCCGCCCCGGCCCTGACCGAAGTACCCCTTAGATGAGAGGCAGCCAAAGTGTCTACACAAGTGGCGTCCCAAACAAGGGCTTTGCCTCTCTCCCAAAGGATCAATGTTAAACCGTCGGGTCTCTTACCATCGTCGCGTAAAATGCCACAGGGCTCTAAAATAGATGGAACATTGATGGAAACAAGAGCCCTACGGATGATGTCGTTCAGGGAACCGTGGCGAGAAAAACGGCCAGCACTTTTTTGACAAGAAAGCCCGTGTAGACAAATTTGTCTACACTGACACCACAAGGGCATTGGTGTGGTTGACAAATCGGTGCCCCCAGACGGATTCCTACAGCAATGCGTAAGCTTTCATCGTCAAGTAATGTGCCCAAGTTACTTGATGGTAAAGCGTGAAGCCAATAACTCGATTCTTTAGATGAGACTCCTAGGAAACGGGCACGCTCTAAATTACTTTCTAAAGATTGAAACGTATCTCTCTGTACTCTCCGCACCAAAGGAACATCCCACTGTTTTTGTAGGTTTACTTCCAGTGGGATATTTTCGTTGGGACAGATAGACAGCCAAGACATCGTTGCCTCCTCTGCATAGGAAAGTTCTGATTCGTGATTAAGGATGTTATTACATAAATTATTTACGCTATGCACGGAAGCAAGGAAGGCAGGTAGAGCGACACTAGAAATTTTCCTTACACCGATACCACCAAAACGAATTGGCAGCGTAGCTTGAGTCCAGCTTAATTCATTAAGAGATAAATTTAGAATTTTTTCTATCTTTTCTAATTTTTTTTATTGGACTCGAGCGAAGGAGGTACGTAAATTTAGGTACAAGAATACAATGTCGCAAAATAGTAAGCGCAATATGCGAATTTAGTAGAAATAATTTATTGGCATGATCTAAAAATTGACTTAACTTTAATTTTAAATGAGGTTCCAAACTTGGTATCAACAAAGGAGCACCTAAGAGGTAAAGTGAATCTGAACGGACTACGTTAATTCCCGGTATGATAGAGCTAAAATTTTGGGTCAAAATGATTTTGTCGGAAAAAGAAATCTTTTCGGAAAAGAAAAGTTCGCATTTGGAATTATTTAAATCGAGACCGATATTTTTAAATTGTCATTTCAATAAGATATTTGTAATTTCAATAAGATCACTTTGTACATCGTCAACTTTACCTCCCAGAGTACCATCGTCTAGGTACCAGACATTAAGTTTAGATTTCAATTTTGAAATAATTGGATTAATTCCCAAACAATTAACAATTTCATAACTTATATTCAGTTAACTTAATTTATTGTTGACTTTTCAGAAAAGCTAAAACCTGTTTTATTGAATAAGGTATTCCGTGGTCCTTAAAAATGTATTAAAGTCAATAATTTACTATTATCGAGAGAGATTATCGAGAGATATCAAAGATATAAATTTGTGCCTAGCTTATGTAAATTGTGAGAATAGAATTAGAAATTGCTCGAAAAAGGAAACAGTATGGCAACACCATTACCAAATTAACCGCAAATCGAAACACTGGCCGCGTGCTGCGACACCCACTGCGGGGATTATTGCGCCAAGGGTGGCAACTCCAAATTTATTTTCGAACCCGACATAATTCGTACAAAACTTATATTTCTCAATTATTTTATGTAAGTATAAACTCTAAACAGACACCGGTTGATATAGTGTAAGTAGATCTACTTAAATACTTGTACATAATAACCAGCACAATAATGATGCTCAATTATTGAGAGCGCCGTTACTCCTGGTAACGGGTCGGGAATATTCCAATAGAGCGGAGTACTAGTGAGACTCTAAACGGAGCGAGGCGGGCGGGAGGTGGGCGGTTGCCGGGGCAACGCGCGGTTGCAGGAAACTGCACAATCGATGCCACCAGACGCTCTGCTGTGGATCAATGTGTCTCTAGTACTACGCCCGGGCCCGGGAAACCTGAGCGCGGCTGTGTGAGTGCGCCAGTATCGGCCTCTCATCGCCCGTCCAGCGACGGTGGAACTGCGACGGGGCGCCGCGCCGCCCTGCGCCCTTTGACGTCGTACACGGGGGCGGGCGGCGCGGGAGCTCTGACGCTCTGGTCGCGCGCCCCTGTGTGCTGAGCTACCCTGGCCGTTTCGCCGATGTGCGTGCACCGCGCCAGTGTTCCATTTTCGAGCGTCCGCGTCGGGAAACTTGTGAATCGTTTGTCTGTGTGCGTCGGCGGGTCTGTGTGTGCGTGTCATTGTGCGCGTTCGAACGCCGCAGACTATTGTTTGTTTTGTTGTTATTATCGCTTCCGCTGGCCGTTGAACGTCACGTAGACCCCGTTTATCGGCGCGGAAGAAAAGCGTTATCGCGTCTATCGTTTTCGATTTGCGTTTATTGAATTCGTCATAGAAATGTGTCCCGTTAAGTACGACGTAATTGTCAAAACAAAACGCACGTCGCAAAAAAAAACATAAGGAAACTTTCGTCTTGTACATAGATTGGTAACTCCTATATAGATCGGGTTCTACGTGACGGCGGGGGATCCCTTTGAGGATTACGGTGTTCAGCAAACAGGGGAGGGAAATTTCCTGCAAACATCTTTCGGATACGGTTGAAACTGAGCTTTATCGTGAACACCAAAGGGCGGTTTTCAAAAGACGATTAGTACAAAAAATTCTCCCGTTTATTGACAAAATTTTGATGAGTAGCGAAATACCTTTAGGCGTATTTGAAGAGCGTTCAATATTAAAACATTATTTGTGACCGATCTTTGTTCATTTGTAGATCCGAAGTTACAGTCTCGGCGGCCTTGATAGCTTAAAATTGAGGTGTCGAGCTTAGTTTTTCCTTTGTAGAAATTCTCAATAGGTTCGAGGGTGAAAATCTGTCGCAGTGTAAAGGAAAGATCAGATAAAGCGCCATCTGTTGGTGGTTGAAGAAATCCGGCACGCAATCCCACGCTACGAAATACTGACTGTTTCGTACCTACGCTGAAGGAATAAATTAAAAAAATTGAAGTGACTCTTTAAGACGAGCGTTTATTTATCTTATGTATTTTTCATTTGCAGTAAAATTTTCCCTTCGATGAACGGTAAAAAATGAAACGGCAACACAGCAACGAAGAGTTTAAGCAGTTTAGGCAAAATCGCTTCAATTATGTGGTTGATGAACTCGTACAATTTTTATCTGCGATAAAACGCAACATATCCGCCCAGAGATGGGCACTTGCAGAGCATTGCCGATATGCACTGCCGAGTGCAAGAGTGGTAATTAATTTCGAGTGCACCATTTGTCGGAAGGAGATTTCGTTCGGGAAACAAGTTTTCCTACTGACACTGGAAACGCTGAAGGCCTCTCAAATCGAACCTAACGTTATGTTTAATTCAATTTAATAGATCAATGCCCGGTTTCTGAAACACTGATCATCGTAGAAATTAACTAATCAGCTGTCAATTGGCTTTTCAAACGTCACTCAAGTTGCCAAATGATGTTTAAGCTCTCTGAAATACCACGATAAGTGCCACGACCTCATAAATAGATAAAGTAGAAGTGTAACACTTCTGCGTTTCGTCTGGTGAGTGAGGTAGCCGGGGCCCACTTTACTTTAAGGTGGCAATGCATCTGTAACTCTACGGGTGTCGCTGAGATCTAGGGCCGATAAACTATTGTGGCGAATAAAATTGTTATCATTTATTATTTTAAATCTTATTTACTAAATATAACACAAACCAGTCTAATATTTGAAATACAAACTTTCTTTATCAGTCCTCTTGTCTGTTTGTTATATTGTAATTCTTTTGTTTGTTCAAAGTCCTGTTTACTTACTTAAATATGTATGTCTGCGACCTCAATACATAATAAGTTATATTCAACCAAATAAGGAATAACTAAATGTACAAGCCAAATATTATTACGGTTACATTTGTGGGTAAAAACTACCATACAGTGATATATCTCTTTTTTTTATAATTGAATGTGGCAAGCGAGCTGACATTTCACACGATGTTAAATGATAGCGGCCACATCAGCAACACCCGTAGGGTTGCAGATGCATTGCCACCTGTTAAAAAAGTGGGCTCCGGCTACCTCATTCATCAGACGAAATGCAGAAGCACACTACCATTTTACACCGGTCTTCTGTGAGGTCGTGGTACTTCCCCGGACGGACCTGCCCATTCGTGCAACAGCCGAGGCTGCTATGTGGCCCTTCTAATGGAGGAGCATTGCCGCAGGAGTTTAAAGGAGCTTTTAAGAATAAATGGGCTTAAACGTCCCTAAGTAGTATCAGTCCCGAAATATTATATACCTTTTCAATGTCGAATAAAGCTTGTACGGGGAAGTAGAATGGCTTGAAGAGGAAGTATGCACTTTTTTAATGGCTGACAACCCATCGGGTGTTTTAAATACCCATAGGAGGCGGTGATCCTTTCGTTGATCCGTTTACTTCCTTCTAGTTAAAAAATCGTCATAATACGTAACTATTGAAAAGATTCTAACATTGCAAAAGCGGTTTCTTCGGAAAGTCAGTTAATAAATATTTAAAGAAAAATTAAAAGGTAAATATCGATACAAAATTTATTTATCTTAGTGAAATTTGTATTGATTTGAAGTTGAAACGGAAGTCGTGGCATTTCAATACTTGAATCTGTCTATGACACCATTATCTAATAGATAGACGTCGAAACCGCGTTGACATCTGGCAGCAAGCTTTCAGCGTTAGTACTTTAGCTAGTTTGGCATCGTCAGCTTCTTCGAAACTATTGCATGATTACACAGTGTTTATTATAATATTCATTAATCTATACAGATAAATAAAATTGGAGTGTCTACTTGTAATATTGAAATAACCGCTTTCTACTAAATATATATGTATGTATACACGGTATATGTACCACAATAGCATTTTTTACAATTTTTTTCTGTCTGTCTGTTGTTCTCTGAAACGGCTGGAGCGATTTGGACGGGACTTTCACTGTTAGATAGCTGATGTAATAAGGAGTAACTTAGGATACTTTTACTTTACAATTTTTTTATTTTAAATAACACGCGGACGAAGTCTGTGATAGCTCACAAACCGTGTTGTTGCGATTTTAAGGTCAAGTATTCAAATCCACCAATGAGATCAATGCGTGTTCACTTTTAAACTTGTGCGTGATTTACGACGCCTCAAATCACTGTTTAAGAAATCTAAAATTTAGAAAAAAATAACTCGACGATACATGTAATTAATTAGCTACGTCCATTTATGCCTAAGTCGGATAGCTTAAAAGCTCATTGCTTTCTGTTTGTTTTAAAAACTATTAATTGTGTTTATGCTGAACTATTATTTTATTAAATTCCACACACTTAGACACTCCGTAATGAAAAAAAAAATTAAGTACCGCTTCCAGTCCCTCAATATCTACGTCGAGCACGCTCGGCGACGCGTCCGAGCCGGGCGCACAATTCAAGCACTAGTTAAGCACGCTGCCTCCCTTTTATCGTCGGAAAGTAGTTGATTCCATACAGTCGCAGATAACGATGTCTGCATTCCCGTTGACGCGCGAGGGTGATTGGCTGGGCTGGCTGTCTCGTAACACTACCGCGTAGCCCCGTAGCGGGGCTGGCTACGTAAGCGTAGCGTTGATGTTGATTTTTTTTTTTTTAATTTATTAATCACAAAAAATATACAATGAATAGGCTTACATAGCTATTTTCGCCAAACTTTTACATTTGATGGCGAGACCCGCTCGATTTTCAACATAATATCTTCTAAGTATACTACTAATTTACTTATTATATTGATTATACACATTTATTAAGTATTTCTTTACACTACTTATAATTATAACCAACACAGGCAATAATTAAAAGAATGATATACTTCTGTTATAAATAAACTACTACTCCAATGATTTAAAAATACATATACAAAACAATTAGGATTTGTTTATTTATAATAATTTGCATATAGTCATTTACGATTCTAATATTCTACGTTATCTTTTTTATATTTTAAGTTTTCCTATCTGATATACATTTAACAACAGTTCAATTTATTAAAACTGATAAATTTATTTAATTAATTTTAATGCTAATTGAACTAAATATACTAATTTCATGTTTGAATGCCTATTTAAAAGTAGACCGTGTTGATTACTTCTAACAAATTTTAGTTTTTATAGTATTAATATCTGCACGTAAGATGAAGCATTATTTTGTAACAGCCTATACATGTCCCACTGCAGGGCAAAAGCCTCCTCTGTATAGAAGGTATCAGGGCGTAGTCCACCACGCGGCCACACTGCGGATTGGCTGACTTCACATATTTTCGAAATATAAGCGTAATCTTTTTACCATGGTAGGGCCACGCAGTTGACGTTTAACAGTCCATCCGGGTAAGTACCACGACTTCACAGAATACCACCGTGAAGTGGAAGTGTTATACTTCCGCGTTTCGTCTACCGAGTGAGGTAGCCGGGGCCCACTTTATTCAAATGTGTAAACGCATCTTCAACCCCATGGGTGTTACAAATGTCAATAGGCGGTTATCACTTACCATCAGGTGGACCGTCAGCTCGTTTAACAAACGTTACACATAAAAAAGCCATCACGATTGCAAATGTCATGTCAATCCAGACAATTAAATTGTCACCACATCGTTTGCAAACTCAAGTAATATTATTTTATAAATTTAAATAGTGTTACAAATAAGGCTGCTCTTATATCTAACGGAAAAGTGCTTACAAACAATGATTTACTCGTTTCGACGTAATCAAGCCTGTAACCGAGTGAGTCTTGTACAATGTCGTTTAAAAGAAATGGTTTACTACCTCACCCGTCACTTTATATTTACGAATTTTGCATGTTTGTATACAAATATACATCTCTAAGGCAGCTAGTGAAGAATATCCCCGAAATAAAAGAGAGACAAATGGAAATGTCCTTAAATTTAAATAAATTCAGTTAAAGTTGTCTGTCGATGTGTGTCAAAATGTTTAATCAAATTTTAAATGAACTAATAATGTATTATAACAGACTAATTTACAAGAAATGCAGGAATGGGTAAGCAATAATTATTTTCAGAAACTTATTCAACAAAGATTGAATAATATGTAATGTCACATAACGTGACTTATTTTTTTTTATAACATGCCATGGATATTAGCAAAACATTAAGTCTTCTCAAATGTGTTTCCCATCTTTTTGTATGTTTTACGCAAATAACTGTTACAACTATAATTACTATTACTAACATTTAAGACTGAAATACTGA